TTGTTTTTCCGGTTGGGTGTTTTTTGCTTCTTCATATTTCAAATCATTGACTTGATTCTTGCAATCCTCTCATCTGCTGTTGGATTTCTGTATAATATTCTTTATTTCAGTCAGTGTATGTTTTAATTTCTAGTTGGTCCTTTTTCATATCCTTGAGGGTCTCACTCAATTTATCAGCGGTTTCTAGGAAATTCTTGAAAAACCTTAAAAGTGTGGTTTTGAATTCTATATCCAGTAGTTTGCTTTCCTTCATTTCTGTCATTTGTGACCTGTTTCTTTGTCTCCGCATTTTGGCTGCTTCCCTGTGTTGATAGAGTGGCTTTGTGTGCTAGGTATCTTATAGGGCCCAGTGGCTCAGCCTCCCCAGTTACCTGAGGTGGACACTCTTGGTGCACCCCTTTGTGGGCTTTGTGCACAGTCTTGTTGTAGTTATGCCTTGATTGTTTTAGGTGTCACTGGGAGGAATTGACCTCCAGGCCAATTGGCAGTGAGAATCAGCTGTGTCTGCAGTGGGAGAACTTCTGTGCTGGAGACACCCTTCTGGGGCAAGACTTGCTTCAGTGGGGCTTTGGTGCTCACTGAGTCTGCCCCCTGAGTGTGTCCCTTATGGATCTGAGGAGTTGTAATCTGGATGGTCCCACTCTGACCACTGGGTACATTGGCTCTTGGATCTCTAAGGAGGTGCTAATTTAGCCTCTGCCTGAGGCTACCCAGCAGGAGCTATGGAGAGATCTGCAGATTCCTCTTCTTTGTTTGGGGTTTGGAGGTGCCCAGATGAGTCCCAGCTGTGAAGCAATGCAGTCTGCTGTGGGGCCTTGAGCCTTCTTTTAGAAGTTCTGGGTCTCTCTGACCCAGCTGCAGTTTGTTAGGTAATTTTCAGATAGCAAAGGGCCAGGCCTTTCTTATGCAAAAGCCTCTGCGCACAGCTTGGGTGGAGCGGGGTCTCAGGGAATCAACAGGGTGGAGCAAACAGCTATGACTGATCCTCAGCCCTGCCCTAAGAGGCCCTGGATCTCAGTGTCCCGGTAATCGCTGCAAGCACCTCTGAGAGAAAGCCGCCCTCGAGTTCTGTCTGACGCCAGACAGTCCAGTTTCTCCCCGTATGAGTCTGGGTCCCCAGAGACTCGCCTGGAACTGGAGTTCAGAGCAGTCGGGAGCTTGAGACTCCCTCCTGATTGAAAAAGACAACCATGTCCTCAGTTGCCAGCCCTTTCCACGTGCGCCTCCGTACCTCTGCACTTTACTTCCGCACCTCCCTTGAGTCTCAGTGTGCTTTTCTCTTTCCTTCTAGTTGTAGAATTTCCACTCAGCCAGCTTTCCTGTGGTCTGGATGATGTCTGTTTTGACTTTTAGTTGTATTTTTGAAGTGGTTGTGCGAGGCAGCAATTTCAGGTGTTTACCTATGCCACTATCTTAGTTTCTTCTGATTTTTTATTGCTGTGTAATATTCCATTGTGTTGTATATTTACCACACCTTTAAAAAATCTATTTATCTAGCGATAGACACCTACAATCTCTTCAAATGGTATTGGAAAAACTGGACAGATACATGAAAAAAAAATGGTACCTGACCACTTTATTACACCACATA